GGAGGTAGGGGTGCAGGTGTTGTGCATGGCATATCATCTTATTATTGTTACTTTTTGTGCCAATTATTTTCAAAATCCCTTGAACTATAAAGAAGGTGTAGATCGGACACAAATATACTCTATCACAGACTATGTAAATCTTTGACCTCTAAGTGTGACCTTGACGGAGGTAGGAACAGGTGTTTCGCATGACATAACATCTTATTATTGTGACTATTTGTGCCAAGTATTTTTCAAAATCCCTTGATCTATAAAGAAGTTATGGACGGGACACAAAATATAGCATAAAATTGACTCTGTTAACGTTTGACCTCTTAGTGTGACCTTGACCTTGGAGAAAGGGGTGCAGGTGTTTCGCATGACATATCGTCTTTTATTGTGACTATTTGTACCAAGTTATTTTTAAATCCCTTGAATTCTGAAGAAGTTCTAGATCGGACACAAAATATACCATATAACAGACTATGTAAATCTTTGACCTCTAAGTGTGACTTGACCTTGGAGCTAGGGACACAGCTGTTACGCATGACATATCATCTTATTAATGTGACTTTTTGTGCCAAGTGTTTTTAAAATCCCTTGATCTATAAAGACGTTATGGACAGGAAACAAAATATACCATATAATTGACTCTGTTGATCTTTGACCTCTAAGTGTGACCTTGACCTTGGAGGTAGGTGTGCAGGTGTTGTACTTGACATATCGTCTTATTATTGTGACTTTTTGTATAGAGTTATTTTAAAATCACTTGAACTATGAAGAAGTTCTAGATCGGACACAAAATATACCCTATAACAGACTGTGTTAATTTTTGTCCTCTTACTGTGACCTTGACCCTTGAGGTAGGGACGCAGGTGTTGCGCATGACACATCATCTTATTATAGTGAAAATTTGTGCCAAGTATTTTCAAAATCCTTTGATCTATGAAAAAATATGGACCGGACACAAAATATACTCTATAACAGCCTATGTTGAATTTTGACCTCCAAGTATGACCTTCACCTTGGGGGTAGGTGACCGGTTGTTGCGCATGACACAGTGCCTCATTATTGTGAACAATTGTGGCAAGTATTTTCAAAATCCCTTCAAAGATAAAAAAGTTATGGACCGGACACGACATATATCCTCAAATAGACAATGTTGACCTTGAATGAGCAAGTGCGACCTTGACCTTGAAGGTAGGGGCCTGGTTGTTGCGCATGGCACATCGTCTTATTATAACAAACATTTGTGCCAAGTTATTTCAAATTCCTTTGATAAATGACAAAGTTTTGGACCGGACACGAAAGTGTGACGGACGGACGGACAGACGGATGGACGTTCTAACAGGAGAGTAATAATGTGGCTACTCTATTGTTCTTTTTAGCCACACAAAAGAAAATAGCCACATAAAAGCATTACGGAATGAATGACATCAAAGAGAAAGAACAGTTGCCTATTGCCCCTCTAGCCACATAATTACTGTCCTGTGAGTGCGGACAGACAGACAGACGGACGGACGAAGCCTATTTCTTTATCCCCATTTTTTCTTCGAAATGGCGGGGGACAATTACCAAACATATAAATAAAAGTTTAGTTTTTTTTTATCAGTACTTCGGAATAATCTTAATGTTTGTTTATTTTTTTTGAACACAAAAAGGTGCATATAACTTTGCATATTTACCTTTACTTAGGACGTTGACGTAGAATGAAAACGAAAACCATAATCTGACCGGAAAATAAAACTACAAAAGGGCTTGACCGCACACCCTATGTAAACTCTGCATACACTCTACAGAAAGCAGGTTCCTCATAAGGCATCTAATACTTTAAGACCGTAAATTTTGAAGTTAAACGTAAGCAAGAAACTTCAATATTTTTGCGAACTAAACTTTAAAGCAATATAAATATGCTTCAATTTTGTTCTATTTGATACTTACAATAGGTTTCTTTGCTTTCAATACGACTGTTGACTAAACTTATTTTATTGGCAACGCCGGTGAGCGGCGTCGTCTCTTATGGAATGCTTTTTATTTTGGCCTATGGAAGGAGCTGTTATTATTAGCAGTTAATGCCATGTTGTGTTAATTAGTCTTATTTTGATTCGTAAAAATCAAGTAAACAAATATGTTGTTATATTTGTATTTACTAACTTTATGTAAAAAGCATGTGCATTGTGATATTATTTTCCCGAAATTGCAGGTTAAGTTTAACAACTTGTCCCTTAGTTTTATTGACAATACTAAAACCCGGATTTCGAATATCGTTGTGGTCTACATTGATGCCGTATCCATTCATTTATATATTTTCAAAATTTTCCTACAAGAAGAAAGTTCACCTGCAAATTAGTATAAGGATAGGTTGGAACTGTTGCAAACGATTATTCTATTGATTTTATCCTTATAAAGAGTTTATCTGTTGCGCAGAATGGTTGTTTTTACAAAGTGTACCAGTATCCGGATGTTGAAAAGTATCCGATTTTCTGCAATTACTGCTGTCACATGGCCATCTATTTTTGAAAGAATACTTTACCATTAATTTGCATGCCTTAATAAAACTGAGCCCGCAACATTTCATAATATTGCTGTTTAGGGTGTTCTTTTGGGTTTCAGGTTTTCTCTATTTTAAGGGGAAGTAACTCATGTTTACTAAATTATTGCTTTTTTCTGTCTATCTTAGGTATACTTATAATACTATTTTTGTTGTATAAAATTTAAATTTGAAATGTGCAAAGGCAGTATTGCTTGATACTTTTAGATCTACAAAGGGTATTTGATACAGTTGATCACACTATACTGCACATGAAGAAGTTCTTTTTCTTCTTCTTCATGAAACGTCAAGCATCTGCCATATGTAATGAAATTCTTACATACTTTAAGTCTTATCTCTGATAGACAGCAGCTGGTGGATGTGGCTGGTACTCATTCTATTACTGCTCTGAGTACCTATGTTGTCCCCCTGATGTTCATTTTAGGTCCTCTTTTATGTCTAATATATGTCAATGACAAGCCTGCGACCCTAAGCAATAAGCTTTTATTATATGTAAATGCACGAGTATCAGACCTCGGAAGAAGAAAATATGACCAGATGGATTAAACAACCTGTGTTCATCCTAAAAGTGTCAAAAACCAAAATAAAATGTAAATAATGACACCCTTTAAAAATATACTTTAAGTTAATAGTATATTTTTATTATTTACATTTTTTTTGGTTTTTATGAACACAGTTTTTTTATCAATCTGGTCATATTTTTCTTCCCAGGTTGTGATTATATGCTGATGACTCAGGAATCCTTGTGTCTGGTAAAATAAATCTGAAGAAATTCTTTCTTTTAGTATGAGTCTTATAAGATTGGTTAATTGACTATAAATTGTCTTTGCATCTTGGAAAGACAGAGTCTATTCTTTTTGGTATAAGTTTCAACTTAAACTATGCCTAGCCTCCAGGTCACATGTAATGATACTGTTATAAAGTACACATCTTTTGTTAAGTATTTAGGTGCAAACCTGGATAAAAATCTTTTGGCGTCGCCCTTTGATGCTTTGCATCAATGTTTTTCTTGTTGAACTTTTTGTTTTAATCAGTGTCAATCAAATGTGACGTTTACAAATATTATTTTTGCACAATATTTAACATATAAACAGACGCTCTGCCTGCATATATTGCAAAATTAAGACATTTACAATCAATTTGAATATGAATTTACATTGAACATATAAGTAACAACGATATACAAAAGATAGACTTCATTTTTCTTTAGGTCCAAACCATGTCTGTAAAGATATGGGAAAAACTATTTCAAAACAAATAGTAACCAAGTTATGATTATAATAAATGCACCTGTTCTTAATTTGGTATAACCAGATAGAACAATCACTTAATAGGTTGAATTATTGATACGCTTTTTTGTTTCGGATTTTGTAATTTGTGTTTGATACTTCGTTTCTTTTACTACTTTGTCACCGTCTGTTCCTATTTCATTTATATGTCAACGCTGTATAGAAGTAATAAACCACTGTCAACGGTAGCCGCAGAAATAACAATCTACATAGTCAAACAAACAGGCATTTCTCTATTTTCTTTCTTTAATTATTTGCAAATTTGGAACTTAAAAAATGAAATGTCTAAATCAGATAAATAATTTTTAAAACAATTCATTGCCACGGAAAATTTCAAGGGGAGCATAAATCTAAATGGGAGCAAAACCTAAAGTTCTAAGCATTATCCACAATCTTTATTTCGGAAAAAGAAAGAACCAACTTGATCCCGACTTTTGGTGCGCTAAGAATACTGCACAACGGTAAGAAAGACAAACATACCTCACAATAACTGATATTTATTGTATATGTTCACATCCAATGCCAGTTATATCAACCAGTACATTATTCATTGCCACGACTTAACCTGTAGTCTAAACATTTGATCATGACATGAGAATGATTAATTTAGTGTTCTTTACCCTTTAATAGTTTTTGGCGTATCTCGGACATCCTTAGAAATAACTTTGCATTTCTGTGAGGTCTTTTCCTTAAAGAAGGAAACCTCAATATTTGTAATAATTTTCTGATGAGTAACATGTTGTTAAGTATACACATTAAATGTAAGATACTAACTATCATCAGTTATTGCATGGTTTGGAACTTTTTCTTTGTTCTTACTAACCCATTATATTCAGTACACTTTCAATGATGATTTGGAAATTGTATTGATATATAAGAGCACAGAGATTTTTCATTGATTCATACTGGAAAAAAAATTAACTAATATATAACAGTTGAGTTATTTTGCACCTTTTATATATCAGTGTAGTTTGTTACAGAGGTTACAATTTTGCACAAAAACATAGATTAATTAGCTGATATAAGTTCATTTGGAAGGGTTTAATTTGAAACGAAAGGGAAAGGGCACAAGAGAGGAATATTCTACTTATTGCGGGGGGGGGGGGGCTTCACATGCACTGTGTAATTGTTTGTAAAAACAATATCCTTTTGTACCTTAAAAAGATAACGTCAATCGAAATTCTCTATTATCTTAATAAAACGATTACATGCTACCTACACAAACGTTGTTTAAAATACAGTTTTAGTGACAAAAGTATACGTTAGTATGTGATGTATGATTAATTGTAGGAGTAATTGCAAAGAAATATATTTAAAGATTTATGTAACATTCTGGAGTCTAATATTACAGCATAAAAAGGGCAATGTATTTTTTTTATTTACCGGATTTATTTCCCTTTTGTATAAAATAATTTTACAGAGTTATTTCACTTTAATATTCTGTTGTACTTCCTCAGCATCATGTGTTCCCACGTTTCAAAGTGTTGCATGTGACGTTGTTGGTGATGTAACCTTCGTCTTTGTGAATGAGTTAAAGGTCTGCGTCTGACGTCATTCAGAATAATTTGTTGACGTGATACTGGCGCAATTGGCTCATTGTGGCTAATGTCAACGTCAACTGTTTCTAGGATAAAATGAAGAAAATAAAAAGTTCAAGAAAATGGTTACAAATGCGCATTGTTTTATCGGAAAGCAGGACAATATTTAACAGTTTATGTTTATGAAAAGAGACGGACACGTTTTAAACATGTTAACAAAAATTGGTTGGTTGTCGATAACGTTGTATCACGATAAATACAATCAGGTAGCTTTGTAGAAGTTTAATTTCAAATCGAGCTTTAAGAGCGAGCGTAGTAATCCGGTGGTAAGAGGAATGGCGAGATTGAACTGTAATTACTACACTTGCCTCTCACTTCCTTATAATTACCACCTCCTTGCCGTCCTCCCCATACAACCGTTACTTTTTTGTTATTCTTACCCTAAATTATTAAAGATGTATTTATTATATTTAAATATCCTCTTACCACTGAAGATAAGACTAAGTGACTTACCGTTTTGAGAAAGTCCGCCGTCATGACCGTACACTTCTGAAGAAACTGCAAACCTCTCCGCGCATACGCAAGCTATTGGCCAATTAGTTAGCCATCTCTGTTCGCCATCATCAGTGTTCGTAACAAGGATATCTATATAGATTAAAAACATTTGAACACTGCAAGAATGCAGAAATTTATACTTATATACAGGCAGAAGAACAAAATAAAACGAACATAACAAATGGAAAAAAAACAACAACAAAACAAATAAAAACAAACAAAAAACCCCACAAAACAGGCGCACATAAATCGGAAAAAACAGGCAGCTCTTTTTAATGTTGTCTTTCATTAAATGCATGTTGATTTAAGTGTAAATGTATATTATATCAGCAACTAAGAAAAGCTCTTAAAATATAAGTCATGTATATATTAAAAACACATTCTTTTTTATGTTTGTCGAAAGTGAATTATTTAATATAAATGTTTAATATGTTAAAGTGTACGGTTTTCATCTTATTCCTTTCAGATCAATAGTAAAATAGATCCTAGACATATAAGGCACATTACACTGTTTAAAATGCATAGCTTGGAAAAGTGTGGCTCTTGGCATATGCATTGGAAGACATAGCAAAATACAACTTTACAGATTATAAAGAATTTCATGAGCAGTGCTGATCATCAATCGGTGTTATTTTGGTAATGCACAGTTATATTTTGAAATAATTACGGAAAGTTCTGTCTAAGTAATATAACATCTACATATTTCATTTCAAAGCGATATACCTCACATATTCACCGAAATCAGCAATATTCTCTATTTTATTAAACAACCATAATTGTTTCAATGTTGATAAAGGTGATATGTGAGTTTTTTATAATTACCCGTTTTAACAAGATCACACTGTGTACGAACTTGAAGGGAATGCGTCGTGCTGGAATCTAAGCCACCAAAACCAAAGTTACATGTTGCACTGTCACATACTGCATACTTGATAAATCGCGGGATTCTCGTGCTTTCTTCATCATATACCTCGTGCCAAGAACACAGAGAATCTTCACACTGACCTGCGCAATTCCTTGGCCGTGACTGCCGCTTCGTCCGAGAGCGTTTTACATTATGAGAATCACGACGCGCGGCATTCAAATATTCAAATAATGACGTAAAGTTTTGTAAAACTGGATTAAAAGTGTTGTCCCGCTTGTCATTGTCATTTCTCAATCTATTATCATGACCAGTGGATTTCACGAGTTCTGCTTTCTTTAAAAACGATGTTTTCTTCCAAGAATTCCCGTTCACATTGTCGAAAACTCTTATTCCATATATGAGCAAGATGCACATTAAACATGATATCATCCGCATTTTCGAATGAAAATTAGTCAATCAAATGTCACTGAACGTATTAAGAATATTGTAACTCAATTCAAATGTACATTATTACTCGAATGAAAGCAAACATTTACTTAAACACCGGAATATGTGTATACATTAACGCGACAGATATATAAACACACATTTATCTTCATAAAATGTTTCGACGGTTTACATAGAGAAAAGTGTTATACCCAAAATTCAGACAAGAAGATCTAGTATAATAAATCCCCAATTTTCGATCTTTAAACAGGGCACTTAAGAGTATAAACGCCCCAGTTATTCTCCAAAAGATTACTCGTAAGGTTATCAGGTATCTCCTTTAAACGATGTATCAGCCGATATTTATTGTTCAATAAGCTGTTTAGTCGATCTATGTTCAGTAAGACACTTTGTCTTAAACACTTTTAAAACAAAACTAAAATAGAAAAATGATATGTGGTATAACAATCGAACCGATGTTTGCATTTTGTGTTTTGAAAATAATTTATGGTACTTTATAAAACATACATTAAAGGTGGTGAATGTAATGGTGTTTACAAATGGACTGTAACTGTAAAGGAGTTGTTCTTTATTTGTTGAATGGTTACTTTCACATATTCAGTGAGCTCACTATAAGAAATAATTTATCATTATCTTTTCTTTAAAATTGTGTATGTCTTACAGGGTTTATCCTTGATTGTAACCCTAAACACTTCACGTATATGTTTGAATCATGTTAGAGTCATTCGCCATTATTGCTAGTCAGTCAAATAATATGTTTAAGTTCATTGTCGGAATGACTAGATCTTCCGTGATAGAAAAGTTTGACACACAATATATTAAGTTTATTGTTTATCATTATCAATTTATCGATACCAATATATATCTTCAGAAAAAGCAATAGCAGTCGAGGTATATTAGAATAATTGCCAGTGAGAAAGTTCATTAGTATAGTGTACCTTTAACATGTAGGCATATCGGTATTATTATATAAGTGTTGATATTACATATCAAAGTAGGTACATATACCGCTTGGTAAAGCGAAAGTACAATCGCCCTTTTAGTTAAAAAAATTTCCCACGCCACTTTAACTATAATAACTTATAGTTTGTTGAAAGATATTTTAAATCATCGTCCGATATTAGTATATTACACCCTCGCACGCTAATTACTTGGTGGGAAAAAATCCTTAAAAGCTTGTTAAACAACTTATGGTATTCTGGGCTCATTTTATTTCCGGTGACTATTATCAATAATTATCTTACAATGATAAATGTGGAAACGTATAGATATTTATATTAATACTGCTAATGTAAAAATATAGCATATAAAGGCTGACTTGTACTCTTATACACAATATAAACATTTTATTTTTTAATATTATGAAATTATGGAGGCAGTTATATTGAACTCCAGTTTCATGATAACGAAAGTGAGGTAGAGAGAAAGGCAATTCGTTGTAACAGGTAGATTAAGTGGTGGCCAAGTCTTGTATCGTATGTGCTTTTGTGTAAACCAGGTTAACCGGTGACTAAGTACTATTCTAGAATCGCTGACAAACCATTCCCAGACGATTTTACGGCCATTTATTTTTGGACATTTTTAACAACTCGGACAATTACTCGTTGAACTAGTGTGTCATATTTTAAGTTTCTTTTCACCATCGTTTCCAGACTTAGAGCCTAATCAGAACAAATAATTTCCGAAAACAAATCTGTACAAAGTAGATCTTAATCTGTAATAAATTTCTTGAAAATAAAACAATAATTCATAATTAATTGATTTATTAAAATCAAGGAAAACAAATATAATAACTTTTTTATTTATCGTACCCTGAGGCAATGACTATCATAATACATGTACCTATAGGTGAAGTTAAGCTTTTAATTCAATATTTTTATAGATATATTATTTTTATTCACGTCAATACATTTCCATTTTAATTTGTGTAGATATACTAGCGCAGAACTTTCCTTGATGGCTGAAATAAATCGACCAAACGCCTTAAAAGAATTACTTGAGGAGAATGTTACGGATTGTCAAAAACTTTCCGTACGAGAATTTACCCGGATTCCATTTATCAGCTGCCAGCCAACCGATTTTAATAATTTTTTAAAAAGAACATTTTTTATATTGCAAAAACAGGGACCGATAAACCCTTAAATGCAAGTCGCATAACAAACAAAAATACTTGAAAAATGTTGCCATAAATAGCTTTATCTCATAGCGTCACATAGGATTTCGTTTGATGCACTATTTGTACTTGCTAATCAATAATTAATGTATTCTTAATTCACATTAATTTAGAATATAAATAACTCGCTTGCTGACCGTTGTTTAATATATATGAGAAAATAATTAAATGTCATCTCAATGTCCCTGTATATTGCAATTCTTTATTAATAATTTTATATCCTATTAACCGTTTGGTTAAGATTTCCATGAACCGGTCCTTAATGTTATGATATAAAAATAAAAGCAGGATGTATTTAAAGATATAAAAGACGCTTAAAATTGTTAATCCTTTATTATTCTTTAAAAAAATATCCGGAAAGTAATGTTTGAACGTTTTATGAAGATATTGACTTGTAAAAATGAAACAAAAGGCATATCGATCTACAAGCCTTTATACAGTTTTCATCTTATCGCTAAACCTTTTATATTTATTCATGAAAATACCGTTTTTAATAATTTAAAAGTAATATCATTTAAAAAATCTAAGTAATAATTCGTCTATTTAACAAAAGACTACTAGTATACTATTTGTATAATATTACATTTTTATTTTTGAATATAAAATGTTGTCATCTTACAATGGTGACAACATTGCATACCGACTTTCTGCCATGTTAATTTGTATGATATTAATATATATAAATTGTCAAGTAGTTTAATGATGTAAGAACGTTATCCTTAATACTGTTTGACGATACATAACCTTATCCCGTGCAACGACAATCGTAAATCGTTTCATTTGCATGATCGAAATCATAAATCGTTGTATTTGCAAACGATACTTGCTATGTCATGATATACACAGTGCGATGGCTTCTTAAACTTTTCATCTTCAGGCAAAAGATCATGCTCAGACTCAGGTTTGACTTTTCCATTTACACTAGACATCAAAATATCCTGTGACTGAAACGAGAAAACGGTCGCAAAGTTTTTTGTTTCCTTTTGATCTTTTTCTGTCGTGCAAGCTTCTTATTCCGATTTTTCAATCGTCGCTGTTTACGCTGCCTTTTACGTTTATCTTTCGTTGCACTTTTCTTCGTTACACCTGGGCATCTACTTTGGCTGATTTTACCTTTGACAACATAGATGACAAGATACTATACATAGCTATTTTATAATAAAAACATCTTCAAATTTAAAGACGTTGACAATTTTCTAGTAATGACAGAATGATTTGAGTCAAACCCTACAAATTCACCTCAAAATTGTATAAAAAGTAAACATTTGTGTACTAGCAGTCACACTACTGGGTTTGATTACTGTGCACAAATAAATAAAAAATAACTGTATAAATTACACTTTAAAACTAATTTTGATTCAAGTTTGCTAATATCTCTTACTCGTATTAGAACAAGAAGATTATACCATATGATTTTGATCCTTTCTTGCATGGTTTTGAAATCACAGATTTCAGCTTGTTGGTACATAAACACGCAACTGGCCAATTCCTAAGGTAAGATTCCCTATTATCTTTAAATATTCGAATATCTGAAAACAAACAAAAACATCATAACAATAATTTACTTTTACTTATACGAGGGTTGTTCAAAAAGTAATAGGACTGCAGCTCTACTGTTCACATTTTTAAATTTACGTACAAAATTTTACATGAGACAAATATCGGAACATGTTCTCTATATACAGTGAAAAAATCAAAACAAAATGTAAACAAATGAAATTTCTGTGAAATTTTCAAATGACGAGGGGTACGAATTGCGGTGCACGCTAAAAGTACAATCATTGACGTTCATGACGGCGTAAAATAAATCGAAATTGTAATAAGTCATTCTTTCTGAAAGTAGTCTCCCTAGTCTCTAGGTGTATGAGTCATGTAACTTTTACTTTGCCTCATATGTAGAGATGAAGCAAGAAAAAGGCGAGCACATTCTCGTTCCACTGTTTCAAAAAAAAAAATAATAAATGAATAAATGCCCGATAGCCGGCCATTCTCCGGGGTTTCTCGTTTTTTTAAATTAACCTTGGAACTCAATAGGACTGAAAATGTTAAAGCAAAAGCAATTTATTTTATTAAGTTACTCATGTCATTGTATGTTTTTAAAACAATATGATTATATACAGAACAATAAAGATATTTCTCAATTGAAAAGTATCCTTTTCTACTTAGCACAGTCAATCGTTTATTAAAACAAGTTTTCGGGAAACACTACTAATTGTTACCGTTAACTTTTACATTAATTTATTGATTACACGTATATCTTGTTAAATACAGTAAAATACTGTTTATAACAAATTTCTTATTTACAATCCTTTGGTTAAAACTGAATAAGTAGACCCAAAGCAGATACAAACAACGATAAACAGTTCGCGTACCGTTTACCGTG